TTGTTGAATTTGCTCCTGGATGAGACATATTGTGTACATTCTTAAAAATGTCTCTGCGAAAATAATTTGGAATAAAGGGTCTTGCAGTTGATTTGCATTCATATTTATCTAAGTTGATGTTTTCCCGTATTCGCAGCTGACTCGGCTTTGTAGCGTCCACGAGAACTCGAACCACTCCTGTGTTGAAAGCGTTTTTTCTGAAGGTTACTTGCTGCTGTGCTTAAAGTTGAAATTTGTTCTTGAAGATCCATTAGTTCAGGAAAAGATTTTACAGCAGCTACTGTTGATTGAGGTGCTGATATAGCTTGGATTTTATCCGCCATAACTGCGAGTTTATCAAGAGCTTCGGAAGATGTTGCTAACACAGCTTGTGTTTGTGAAGGCAGTCGTTGTAGCCACATAGTACGTAGAAAGTCTTCACTGACACTACGCATCTCCCGTAGAAGGCAACTGTGTTTCTTGTCCCCTACGTCCAAATCGTTCAATAACTTCTGAATGCGTTTCTCCTCCGATATAGAGAAATGATAGACGAGACGTTGTTTCAACAATGTATAAACATTCTGAGGTCATGCCAGAATAATATCGCTCACCTGACTTAAAGATCAGGCTCCAATTCGGGAAGAATAGTGAAATATTTCGTTTTCTCTGCAACGATTTCATGGCGTTCAACCTGTGCTTCGATCTGTGCAAAGTAGTGGTGGCAAACTATCGATGGCACTATCGATAATATCGATGGGACATCACTATCGCAACTATCGATGGCGACCACTATCGGCCCTATTTGAAGTTCGATACTATCGAGGAATCGCCATATCTATGTATGATTTTTATGTTCCTATTCTATGTTGAAACGCGTTTTTGTGAAATTTTTTACAATACTCGTGCGGATAGTGTAATAAAATATTGACAAATATCTAACTCGCAATGTAAAAGGTAACGTGTTTGTTATAGATATGTTTATATTGCATGTGTTTCATTATATGGAATAACGTTTACAGAAAACTAGAGCTTAAGTCGTGAAACTTTTTGTACAAAAAAATCTCAACATAAAATCATAAAAGTAAAAATGTTAAAGTTTTATAAGTAAATAAACAAAAATTTAAGTAAATAAATGAACATTTTAAAGTGTGGCGACATATTTTTACTTGTTTCTTTAAAGCTTATTAATTTTTTATAAAAGCCCAGCTTATCGTCTAACGAAAACCATGTAAATCCCAATACAAACTTTGTACAACAATTAATAAAATTTCTCACAGTTTCACCAAAATTTCAAAGTTTGGAATCAGAATTTTGAGAAAAATTTTTGGTATGCAATTTTATAGTCCATTAAAT